GGGCTGGCGTGGGAGGAGCGACTTAAAAATAAATTTCACTGATTTTCAGACAAAGGCGGGTAAAGAATTTAATTTTTAATTATAAAGAACATTGTGAGCGTACTGATTATAGATTTCTCTGAGAAAAGCTAGACTGAGGAAAAGAGAGGTGTAACATTTCTTTGTTCATAGAGAGGGAGAACTTTATCCATAAAGCAAGAGAGATGCCCTTTAACAGTCGTGGCACAAAGCTAAGCTCTGACCGGCTGAAGAGATGACTTCTTAAAATAAACTCCTATGAAGCAAAGACAAAACCTCGGAACAAGGCAAGGTTAAGGAAAATAGGGTCCGGGTGCTTTATATGTAAAAGAGTAGATATATTTCTGACTGTCTACTGAAATTTCATGTAAACATTTTAAGCCCTGGTCATTCATACAACCCTTTAAATGTAGGAGTATGTATATATGTATTCAGTTCAATATACAAAAATTTGCTGTCTCGACTACAATGTTGATTTATTCATCCACTGTTTGTCGATTTGCGCTTTCTGCAAACCACTGAAGCGCGCTCTGATTTATTTTTAGCATAAATGCGCAAATCAAGCGAGGAAGCAAAGGGTATGTATGTTAGAAGCACCAGGTCTATATATGTATGTATGTATGTCATGTATGCAAAGAATATTTGATAGTTCCACTGCTTAGTTCAATGTAGCAAATTCCATTTGCTCTGCAATTTTTCTGCTCACTCACTATCTCCCTTTCTAAGTCATTCACTCGCAGAGCGCTTTGTGTGAATGAAAATGTGAAAAAAGTTAAAAAAATATTACATATTATATTATTACAATTGCAACAATTTACATTGACTACAAGAAAAAACTAAACTTTGTTGTTGTTGTTGCATATAACACAGTGATTTCTCAAATGTTGATTGATGCACTGTCATCAAGTAGCAAACAGCTTTAGCGCAAAGAAAGACAAAAAAACTGTTGCCAATGACATTTTTCCCAAAAGCATTTGAGTGGAACACAAAAGGAATAATTTCAAGAATAAAATATCAAGAAAAAAAGGCAAAAGAAAAAAAATTACTTGTCAAAAATGCATTCTGGCGCAGCGCCAAAAACTTCCAAGAATTAAAAAAAAAAATATGAAGAAAATAACAAAAGCTTAAAAAGTAATAAAAAAGCTGCACAAAAGCTTAAGCAAGCGGTGGACAGAAGGTAGAGCAAGTCAAGAAATATCAGTTCGATTGAAAGGAAACAAAAAATGCATTAAGAACGTGTCAGCACTTGATGCGAGCAGTTCATCAACATAGCACAGAGCGCAGTCATCAGCGTGCTATGAGCTGCAAGTGAGTGGCTGTAAACGTGGGTTTCCAAAAAAAAAAAAAAATAAAAAAAAATTATTATTTTCCTTCCGACAAATCGGCGGATTTCCAAGCAAACGTACAGGGAAATGTTGAATGAAAAAAACAACAAATGAAGATTTTTTTTCCCACTCACATACTCGTACTTGTGTCATGATTATCCTGTATCACAGCTCACAACTCACATACTGTTGCTTGCCATTTCTACGTGTATAGGTGCGCGCGGGAACACTCATCATCAGCCATCATCATTTTGCTTTCTCTTCTTTTTTCATGCCTTGTTTATATATTTTTAATCAAAAACCACTTTGAGCTATGAGCAGTCATGCTGAATAACGCTGAGCTACGCCACTGAGCACCGCGGAACACTGCGGTAAATTTATGCGATTTGCTCTTATGTGATTCCATTTCGATTTAAAACAGCTAGCGTTGAAATAATATCGTAGCTCATATGTATTTTTTTATTTTAAAAGGAATGCAGTTAAACCGATGAGGAGAGTTGAATGTGACATAGAAGGCTGAGTTTTGCTTTAATAATCTGCTTTTGCTTCTGTAATCTGCTCCATAGACCTTTATGTATTATGAAAGGAAGTCCACGCGGTTTTCAAAGAGAAAGAATACGGAAGCGGAGTTAGCTGTCTCAGTATTTAAGCAAATTTCAGTCGCATGATCACGTGATAAAATTCCTAATGAAGCAAGTGAAATGCATAAACTATTTCAAATGTAACAAAAAGCATCTACTACTGGTCATGTTCCTATCTCTCTAATATGCTTTAAGTGAATATTTACCCATGGCAGTCTAACCTCCACTACTCAAAAACAACAACAGATGTAATCATTGCATTGATCAGCGTTTAGTAATATGGCTGCGTTGAGCTGGGTTCGTGACTTAACCTTGCCTTGCTTTGGGTGTTGAAATCAGTGGTAATGCAACTAAACATCGAGCTTATACGAGTTCAACTCTGCACCCACTTGGCTATAAGCCATAACACCCACTGGTGACTTAAAAACGTGATATAGTTCCAAATGTCCTACTTAGTCAGAACCTCTACACACTTTCTCTGTAACTTTCATTAATATTCCGTTTTACCACGACTAACTTATGTACGTATCAAGCGTACGACGTACTTCATTTTTTCACCCCACCCTTTCTAATACCATCTTACCGTACTCCTTTCTCTAAGACGCTTTCATCTACGAAACAAACTAAATGTCAATCATAATATTCCACAAACACACATTCATTCAAACAAACTATTTGCTCTCTCTTCAATACTCAGCTCTTCTCTCTCTCAACTCTCTACACTCTCAGCGGTGTCCAGTAAGAATGCGATGTGCGTCAGTTCTCAGTCTCCTATCTCGGGGAGGGAATGGAAAATGTAATAACAACTCCGATTCGTACTCCACATAATATTAAACATAATATCCATTGCCATAATTTCGAGAGCTCAATGCAAGATAAAAATCCTTATTACATTCCCAGCTTCACAGCGATTTTTCATTTCACTACAGAGAAAACCGAAAAAGGCTGGGATGCCTGAGCATGAAGAGCTTAAGAAGCTGGCCGACAAGAGTAATGCTCGAAACTTCTACGAAAAGACACCGCGCCTTACAAAAGGTTCTAAGACTAAAGCAAACTACTGTAGAAATCAGAGAGATGAGTTTTCTCAATATTGCATATAAGATCCCATCGAGCGTATCGTGTGGTGAAAGAGTAAGGCTCACCATCAATAAACTGCTTCGACATTACAAACGTGACTTTAGACCAGGTAAATCTGCAATTCAACAGATATTCACCATGCGCCAAATTTTTGAAAAAGACTCCGTGAAAAGAGGATCACACACACCACCTCCTCAACGATTTTGGAGCCGCCTTCGACAACTGCCTCTACGTCATACGGCTGTGTATACGGACGCCAGACAATACCAAGAATGACCTCTCCGAGCCACTCGATAACAAAGGAGGTTTCAGACAAGATGATTTCCATATCGTGTGACTTCTTTAAATTACGGCTGGATAACATACTTCGCTCTACAAAGCTGAAAAATCTTCTTTAAGGGTATATAGCTGCTGGTGAAAGACATGGTTGGTTTCAATAATCCACCGTGGCTTCTGCTTTTATCAGACGGGATAAGCAAGCGTAGCATATCGGTCTGGTAGTGAGCGAGGACAAGACGAAATATCCTCTGTTATCAGACAAACAATCATCGCATTCACTACTCGCTTCCCATGACACTGTTAGCAGTCATAACATCTAGGTCGTAGATAATTTCGTCTATCTAATGTTAATGCTCACCACCAATAATAATATCATCCTTGAAATCCAATGCAAAATCACTCTTGCCAACAGATGCTACTTTGGTCGGCAATTGAAGAGTAAGGTCCTCTCTTAACTAACCTAAGACCAAATTCTTCAAATCGCTTTATACGTTTTGCTAAATCATACGGAAACCAAGACGATGTTATCATTCGATGAGTTGTCGTATGCTCCCTTGATAGTTAGGAACGGCGTATAAGCCAGTAGATGAAGCGATGAGCAGTACGATTTATACGATGACATTGATATAGTTAATCGAAATCAAGAGACTGTGGCTACACTGGTTGGGTCGTGCAGTCGGGATGAATCAGAGTACTCCAGCTTTGTAAGTTTTATATGCAGTATCCGGCAGTGGAAGCGGATGAATAGAAATACCAGACTGTACTTGGCATTTCCAATTGGCGCCAAATAGCGAAAAGAAAAAATGAATGACGCGCTGTTCTTAAAAAGTTATGATAATTATTTTTTTGTTTGTACGAATAATTTATATTGGAAACTTTGATTGCTCACCAACACTCTTCGAAGTTAAGTAAAAAAATTTAGCTTGCAGAAACTTTGCTTTCTTTGGAAACGGGTTAAATTTAACCCATAAGGGCGATAGGATAGTTTTCGGTCCAAGTATTGATAATGGCCTTAAAGCCTTGAAATTTAAACTTATACTCATGGCAGATAAAACAGAAAATGGTGTATTATTTTCGGTTCGAATAATGTGAGTACCAAAAGGAGGAGAGATGGACTCATCAAAATTTATTCCGGTCGGATCCAGGTAAGGTATTCGCACTATTGTGGGCATATCCAAGGAATGAGGTAAATTTATTAAATTGTTAAAAGTTAACAATGGCCAATAGAGAATGTTTGTACATAATTCTATATTCTATCTACTATTTATATTAGATTAATATTTTATTACATGTTATAAAGATAAAGGTATCTTGCATCGCGCGTACACGGTTTATCTTATCAACAATTGACAATTATACAGCCACTGGAATAGCTAATAATGTTGACGTGACTAATAACACAACAAGGAGTAATCTAAAAAAATATGTTAATATTGAGACAATAGAAAAGCTTCAGAAGCTTCCCAAAACTTGAAATTCCTAAATAATATTTTAAATTTTTTATATAAATTATATATTTTTGCACTCATATATTGTATTTACAATTAAAATATGAAAAATAATATATTTAAGTAAAAATTTGAAATATTCATTATAAAATCATTTAAAACAATTTTGTAAGCCAATAATGCTGTCTAAAAAATATTTAATAATATCAGAAGGACTGATCAAATCCAACAGTGAATGCTTATATAAATAAAGATGAGAAAGTATAGCTTACCTGCTTTTAAGTAAAAGAGAGTCAAGGAGCTGAACTAAAAACTTCCAATTTCCTTTGATAACTTCCAAATCTTGCTTTAAGTTGCTATGTCTTCCTAAGAATTTCTTTTAATTTAAGTTAATTTTAGTTTAATTCAATTTTAATTTTAATTTAATTTTAATTTTAATTATATTTAATATTTTTACTTGTTCTTATTTTTTAGTTGTTTCTTTTTCGTATTTCTCTGAGAAGCCATATGTAAATTACTCTTTAAAGTTTGTTTGAAGTTTATATTTAAATCAATAAGTTGTAAAAAAAGATTAAATAATTTATTGTTTGTATATGAACTTCAATTGATTTCAAAAAATTTGCGTGCTGTAAATTTTACTTATTTTTCTTATAATTTTTTAATATTTTTTTAATTTCACTAACTTCACTTTCACCGCAAAAAATTCACTTCCCAAAACAGTTTCACTCACTTTGGTGTGCACGTAAACAACACTCCTTAACGTTTAACGCAGCAAAAATGCCACTTGTTGTGCGCCGCGTCGTCAGTTAGTTACCTTTGGGAATTTGTTTTGTTTTCACGCGTACACACACACATACACACACACACATAGAAACAAACGAAATCCATAAACACACAATAGATACCAAGAAATAAAAAAATTTGTTTTGTTTTCACGCGTACACACACACATACACACACACACATAGACACACACTTACATATACCCACAGTGTGTTTACAAATTCTCAAGTTGATACGAGTACTAATAATTTTTGACACCTTCACACGCACCGACGTCCTTATGCCGACTACGCATCAGGCAGCCGGCAAATTGGCTAAATTGCTGTCACGCAATGGACAAAACTGTCAACCGGCAACGAGGTAGACCGTCTACACGCCGAGTCGAAACAGAGCAATAACAGCAACACGAGCAGTGGTAATAGCATGCAATTGCCTAACTGTTGCTGTACATTGCTGCTGGCTATGTGTTGGTGGGAGAATGTACATGCTTCCAGTAGTTTAACATTGCAATGCAATGCAATGTTAGCACACGCAGTTATCGAACAGTGGTGTTAACACATTGTTCATTGTGCTGGAATGCATGTTGTTGGGTTTAAGGAGCTTTTTAGCTGTATTTGGTGAATGCTGGAATGATGAAGCAGCTTTTTTAGGAGCTTTTGGCTGCAAAAGCAAGCGGGTGGCATTGGTGACGGAGGGGAATACCCTACAATTTATTAACATGAAAATTAATATTAATATGAAAATGAGTATGCATACGGATATGAATATGGATGTAAATATAAATGTGCGTATAAATACGATTAATATTATGGGTATGAGTATGAGAATGAATATGATTATGAGTATGAACATGAACTCCAAGATGATTATGAGTATGATTATGAGTGTGAACATGAACTTGAATAATAAGATGAATATCAAAATTAATATGAGCATGAATATAAGTATAAATATGAGCATCAATGTAAGTTCGGATTAATAAGAGTATAAACAAGAAGAAAATAACCCTGAGCATAAAGATGAATGTAAGTATGAATTAGAGTATGAATGTGAGTGCGTATTAATATGAGTATAAACAAAAATTCGGAGCCGAAGAAGAATATAAGTAGTATATGAATATAATCATATATGTAAATGAATATATAATATAAAAACATATTAATTTAAAAAAATGCAAATGTGAATATATATACTATGCATATGTATATGAGTAGGATCGAAATATATTTGGAGCCTTCCCCATAAAGCGAAAATGTTCAGAATATATTTTGTTGCCAAAAATAATGTTCATAATAATTTTATTATGAAATTATTAATATAAAATCAAGTTGATTTGCATATAATTGTAAATTCGCAAAAGAATTGGTTAATTTATTATAAAGTTAATATCAACATCATTGAAATGTTGATTCATTTTTGATATCGAAAGCGCTTGGTGATGTAGAATAGATGTTGTTGAATTTAGCTGTGGCTGTGTGTTTGTACGCGACCGCAAATATTTAATACGAAATAACAAAGTGTTTTTAGAATTTTAATTAATTGGTGGACCGTTTCATGTGCAAATAAATTCATAAATTTTGGTAAGCGTTAGTAGTTATAAAATCAAATTGATTGCGAATGGAATTTTGAGCCACATAAATCATAAATTTGCTATCATACAGTTTTTTTTGGTTGAGGGGTTAATAATTTAGAAATCAATAAAATAAAAAAATAAAATAAAATAAAATAAAGTAAAATAAAATAAAATAAAATAAAATAAAATAAAATAAAATAAAATAAAATAAAATAAAATAAAATAAAATAAGATAAAATAAGATTAGACAAAACAAAACAAAACTAATGAAAGCAAAGCAAAAGAATTTTAAGTCCAATTTAATAAAATAAAATTTAATGAAATAAAATTATTTGAAAAAAAGATCAGCTAATGTAAAATAAAACAGTATTCAATTTAATTTATTTTAAATAAAATTGAGTTGACACTGTACAATTATGTTACAAAAACGAAGTTTGATAAATTAAATTTTGAATATGTTAACAAGCGAAATGGAACTGAGCTTCCAAAAGTTCTAAAATTACCCAAAAATTAATTCAATTTATGTACGTCACATGTGTGGCGCCGCTACCTTGTTTACATGCATCAACGCGGCTTTTACTTGACATGCCTTTGTATGCTAAATACATGTACAATATGTATTTAACAATTGAAAATGTGTGCCACCAATGCATGAACATGAAAAAAGCAAACACATTTACATTAAAATTTATAAATTTTATTATTTTTAAGTCCCTGCAGATACTACTTCATGCATTTCGGTAAACCCACTTACTAATGCAATGTGCTGTTTGTGGCAAGTAGTCGTGCGTGCAGTTTCACTTGTGCGTGGGTGTAGTTTTGGTGTTTTACGCTGTCACTGTTAATTGGATATTTAAATATGATGGATGTGTGACGCTCTTGCATTTCACTGTAACACTATGTGCGTTGTATAGCGAAAATCTTTATATTCTCACAAATAATTAGTATTACTAAAATTTTTATTTCTGTTGAGTGGCGCTTTGATCATGTTTTAGTGATTTTAGTAGCGGCTGGCGGGCAGTGGATGAGGCTGTTTTTGTTTCAAAAAAAGAAAAAGAAGTTATTTTAAATTAATTAAAAATATTTTTTTTTATTATTTTAATTGATTTACTAAAGAAAGTGTTAGAATGTGTTGGGACTAGGTAATGTAAAAAAAAAATATAATATTAGTAACCAGAATGACATGTCGTATGAGTAATAATTTTTATCTTATTTGTGGTTGTATGTCTATAATTCATTATTTTCAATGCAATTAGCTTATAAAATTAAACTATAATTATATTATGATATATATACTATTTGTCAACATACAATGGTTATATATTTTTCAAGAGGAACTGGACAGCACCCATATATCATACCAAGTGATTAAGTGATTTTCCAAGAGTCAACGCTACAACAGTGACAATATTTGGGACTTCGGTGAACTCTGTAGCAGCAGCCGCTTAAATAAATCCTCTGGGAGGCCTCTAGTTTAAAACTTAAATTACAAGACGGTTCACTGCTATTCTGAGCTTCAGTATCATATAATCCCCAGAGCCATAAGGCTAGCTGATGTCATATGATTCGATGAGAGGGTCGAGTGTCACAACGTTGTTTTGTTGGTTGTTTTTCTATATACTCTTTAGGAAGCATCAGAGACAAGAAAAAATCTAAAGCCGCCCTCTGAAGCGATTTTCGGCCGAAAGTGGTTAGCTTTGCTTACTACCTTTCTGAAGATCAGCATACGAGTACTGTTCGGACATATATCCAGAATTATGGAAAATTCATTTTTCTAATTGCAGTCACCCCTGGCCGGGAATGTAAAACCATCCGATTGTATTTCTAATATAAAATAAAAGCTATTCATAAAAATCAGTCAGACGCTTGGAGACGGTTTTAAATAAATCGCTTCAGAAACGGAAGAAAATCAAATCATTTCAGCTGCAACCCAAGCAAGCTTTAAAAAATGAGTTAAATAAAATGAAAAAAGAAAATAATTTCAAATGCACTAATGACCGTCCACACAAGTCTTCAAAGCCGGAGTTGACGACAAACAACGTTATATTTACAGTATCGTGAGATTGGTAAGGAATTATTCATTATAAGCTGCAGAAACTTTGCGACCGTATAATAAGGATTTGTCTCTGGTTTGTTTTGTGGTTTTGTGTGAATTTGATATTCTTGAGAAACTTATGCGGTTATATAAGCTGGCACTGGCCAGCACCAGAAGCACAGCCAGCACAGCACAGGACCTCTTCCAGCAGTTCAGTACGCAGAGCCGCTTTTGAAAAGTAAAGTCTTCTAGCGACGGACCAAATGGAAACTCTACAAGTCCATCATCATTTTCATCATGTTATATGCTGCAGAAGGGATGAAAATGTCTAATAAGTTGACCTTAGGAGTTTTGGGTGTGAACCTTTCCCGAGCCGAACGATTTATGGTCTTTGCGCGTCAGCAACGGTGAATTTCGCAGTCGATAGAACGACAAGCAGTATGAAATATACGACGACTTTTACATAGTTCAACGAATCAAGATACAGCGGCTATGATGGCTATGGTTCGTAGGGTTGAAAGCTTTCCCGCCTAAAAGTATTCGATGCAGCAACAGGTGACAACAGAGAATAACGAAGACCTACACTTCAGTAGAAGGATCGATTGCAGAGCTAACGTATTATTATTATTATTTCTAACTGGTGCCGAAGGGAAGAGAAAGCGGTCTATTGTTGATTTGCATAAATATTTATGTACCTCTACCCATGAAGAAGATAATTTTGAGTGGAGAGAAAATTATTTTTTTTTTAAATATTTAAATTTTTTTTAGATATAATCAGTTCTTCATGAATCTTTTGCTTTTCAAATTTCTGTTCGTAATTTTTCTTTTTAATTAACAACTAAATTTTTCCTAATTGAATTATAAAACTGTCTATATATAAAAAGTGAGTAACATCGCTGACAACATCAAGGTCTTTGAACTGCCTTGATTTGCATATATTGAGTAAGCTGTAATAGTTTTTAATTTAATTTTTCACTTTTAACTTTATTTCACCACTTCCAGCAAACTTTACAGTTTTTTT